CTCAACCACGATCAGTTCAGGAGTGACCCCAGCGTCCGCAGCCCGACCTACAACCATCCATCTCACCATCGACTGTTTCCCACTGCCACAGATCAACACCCGGTGACTCTTTATCATACTGCGACTGTCTGTTTTATTCACTGAACTTTGCACTGTAAATAAATCCCACACTACCTGCACCAAAGTCAGCCACCTAGGTCCATCTTTTCTTTGCTCGTTCATACCCGTGTCCGAGCAACCATAACAAACATGACATGACATTTTGAAGTTCTAAAGGTTGCAATCCTTATTTATACCAAACTGAGTGGGCCTACCGGACACAGGCCCAGGGGCCCAAGGGGTCAGGGGTCAGGAATTATTACCCTCTCTGTTGGAAAGTCAATCAAATGACTACAAAACAAAATGAGTAAAAAATAAAGGCAAACAGCCGCAAATAGATACAAAATAACTGAGACAGAAAACTACCAAAAGAAATTACTACAAAAATATGCAAAACAACAAAAAATAGACACAAAACAAGTAAAGATGGATGCAAAATGACAAAAAGAGATGCAAAACAAGCATAAATGCTTGGTCTATTTGTGAGTCTTGCTTATAGAAGTGTTAGAAGTGTAGGAGAGGTGGGGAGGCCTTTTCCATGTCTGCACCGTTGTCTCACAATCTCTTCATGATTACACTGTAAATTGGTGTTTCTACAGCAAAACTAAGTTCTGATTAGGAGTAGCTATAATAAGTGTGAAAATGAGGACATCCATCAGAAGTGCCCCACACTTTTTCAGTCAGTGATGTTTATTCAGGATCCAGGATTCTGACATTACAGCAGTACATCGTAAAATAATTTTGAGTGCAGACACATCTCATAGCCTGATGTTTCATAGTAAACCAAACCAGAAACTCATATTTTTGACATTACAAGCCAAACAACAGGACAAAACAAAAGCAACCAGACCATGCAAAATGTTTCATAGTAAAATAAAGAATGAAAGGCCATTAAAATAAAAACTTCTGCTGCACTAGATTCTGTTGTAGCTGGGTCCTAGCCCTATAAAGCCATTTGTATCATATTTGATACGCGAGTTTCTGAGCAGATAGAAATCGCCAAAAATGTATCAAATGTAATACAAACAAAATAAAAATATTCTAAATAATATGGCACATTTATTCCTATATGCCTGGACTGTCTGTCTATGCATAAATGGCAAATAAAAATCTTGAATCTTGGATTTTGAATCTTGAATTTTCTTTTGGATTTTGTTAAAAGGTTTAATAAACATCTCATGCCCAAAAATATTGACTGTTCTGGCTAATTTTTGATGTGTTGGGCTTTACAGGGCTAGAAATCATCTTTCCTAAACTACTTTCTGCTCCAGCAGGTCAGCATGCATCTGTGGAACACCCTCTACCGGCTTCTCCGTGGGGGGGGGCTTGATGGTCTCCCCCACCCAGTCCACAAAGTTGGCCATGTTGGTGTACACCCCATAATACCCAGGGTGTGCACAACCCCGCCCCCAGCCCACCACACCTGTCAGGAAGTGGGTGGAGTCATACAGCGTGACCAGGGGGCTTCCGTCATCTCCCTGGCAACTCCCCTGGTGACCCTGTAGATATCCAGCACACAGCATGTTGCTGGTGAAGTTGAATTGGGATATCTGGGAGCACTGGGAGTTCTGGATGATAGGGACCGACATCTTACGGAGGATGGGGGAGACTGGTGTGCCGAGGGTTTCAGCATTGCCCCCTGTGATCCTCTTGCCCCAACCAGACACAGTGTGGTAGCGGACTGTAAGGAGCTCCCGCTCTGCGAAATCTTTGGTGGGCAGGCAGACGGGGATGACGTGGTGGTTCAAGGTGACAGGTCGGCTCAACCGCAGCAGGGCAACGTCGCTGTCACCTGTTGCTGGGGCATAATCTCTATGGACTATCGCCATGGAAACAGGTACTTTCTGTTCTGTGTCTTCTTCTACATCCAAGTTGTGTTCCCCTGGTGACAGACAAGAAACAAATAAACAAGACATTGCAAAAGTCAGATTTACACATTAACTTTACAAAACAACTTAATGACAGGGCTTCATAAAACTTTACAGAACAATTTAACAAACTTTATACAAGTTTCCAAAACTTAAAAGAACAATTTTACAAAACTTGACACAGCTATTCAAAACTTCACAGAATGTCTTTACAAAACTTTACAGAACCGTTTTTGCAGTTTTTTTTATACAACTGCATATAACAACTTTATAAACTAATTTGAAGTACTACAAAGTGATTTATTTTTACAAGACAGAACATTTAGCAGCGTCACATTGTACTTTTTCCTCTTTTAGAAACAATTTAACAGGAAATCTGGAGAATTACTTTTAAAAGCACAAACGACACCTAAATGTGAGGCTTCAGAAGAAATTTCCCGTCAAATTTGACAGTGATTTTTACAGTGTAGATGAGCAGTTACCTGCCACCACAGTAAGGTTTTGGGGGTTGTGGCCATGGACGCAGTGGGCAGCAGTGATGACCCAGTTTGGGTAGATCAGCACACCTCCACAGTGACTGTTCCCATTCAGCTGAACCAGAACCTGATCATACATACATGGACACATCATTATCTCGCATTAACCGTGTTATTTTGTGGTGTCAACTATGTCCTCTGGGTCGCAGCCTGTCCCGGATGTGGGTCTTGGAACTGCATGTGGGCTAACATGTCTGTCCTCTGTATTGGATCTGGGGAGGTTTACACCCTGGCAGCTCCAGCTAACACTGCCTGAGGTAGCGTTACATTTGCCAAACACACCAGTTAGTCCTCACCCTCAAACCTTTTCTCCGTGAAAACACACCGTTTGGAAATATGATAAACCAAACAGGGTCATGCTGGTACAAACCACAGTAACCTAGCATTTTTCTTAAAATACATGAACAAAGTTTTAACAGTCAGCTTTAGCTGCAGTCTGTTGGCATGAAATGAAGCTGGAGCTAATGATTTTAATTACCAGTTAATGGTAAATGTCTTACACTTTCTGTGCATTGCAGAACACTCAAAGTGCTTTCACACTATTTGCCCATTCGTACTCCCAGGCACTCACACACACTAGTGATAACACCAGGAGCTCCTAACTCCATTGGATCTTGTAACTGTCGGCATAACCTCATTTGATTTAGGTCAAATGTTAATAATGTAATGACATACTGTACATCGGTAAGTGACAGCAACTATATGCTTCTAATAGCTACATACGTGATATTGTGGATTGGCAAAGGTTAGTTGATTAATCTATCAGTGTCTACCTGCCAGGGACACTCTCCTTTGGGACAGTGGTTGGCTCCCACCGTCCTAGGCTGAAGCACCGCACTCTGGTTTAGACCTGCTTCCTGTGGAGCCAGTCGGCCACACGGATACTCCACTGCAACACACAGTAACACACATCAGAGCAAGGCTCTGTGAAGAAACTTGATATTCGCTTTTAACAAGGTGTCGATAAGTAGCTGTTATTTGTTCACATGCTTATGGAAGTGTCTCAGATCGGGGCTGAATCCATTTCAGCCGACACTTTTTACAGTTAATGTGACATTGTTCAAAATGCTTTGTTGAATCAGTTAAGGGTAGTAACATTAAAACTCATCTCTCTCCTAATGAAATGTTCAGTATTCTTCCAGTTATTGGGTGTGTCTGACGATGTGAACAGCATTACCCTGTAGGATTACAGGGAATGCAGAGATGTGTAGTTAAAACCAGATACTTCAGAGTTCTAAAGAAGTAGATATAGGTAGTATTTATACCCTGAGCGATACACTGTCGTCCATCCTCTCCCAGTTTATATCCTTCAGCGCAGGAACACTTGCGTCTTTCCCCAGAACCATCACAAAAATGCTGACAGTATCCATTCTGGTAAAGACACTTGAGTGAATCCTCAAACACTGAGGAAAAAATGTAAATATACTTTAGAGTATGACAATATAATTAATGTAGATTTACTTTGACAAGGCCTTGAATTGAGATTGTTCTGTCAAAATGCATTAGGGCTGCATGATAAATCATTTTGTGGGCAATTTAAACCCTGTACAATCTCAGTCTCACGTGAAAGGAATTTTGCCCTGTTTGCATTAACAGGGAGATGCCTCGCATCAAACCAAGCACTCCCTTTTCCACAGGGATCTAAATCATGCTCACAAAACCATTTATCATGCAGACCTAAAATTCATATATTCGATATGTTTGTGTTACGTGTAATATGAAATTGGGTAAATATTTAGATTGAATAAAGACAAAAGTTAAAAACCTTAATTTGAATTTACAGGATTTCATGTTATTTGCTTTATAAAAGGTTGTAACATTGTAGCTCCTGGTGTTTTTTTAAATTTTTTTATATGTGACCTATATACCTTTTATAGTAAACAAATATTTTAGTTTTTTTTTTTAAATAAATCTTCACCTGTCTGGCAGTATCGGCCTTCAAAACCCTCAGGACACTGACATTCATACATGGTGCCCACGTAGACACATGTTCCGTTGTTATGACATGGGTTGGCCAGACAGGGTTCACGGTCTGACACGAGGAAAAACAGTGAAGTTACAACTATTGCACATACATATCAAAATATCAGAACTATTTAACACAATAATTCTTATGTGGACAAACTGCACTACTATGAAATGTTGTTGATTTACATCTAAAATATAATAGTGGGCAAAAATATTGGATAGTGGCCAAACTGTAAGTAAAACTTACGTTTGTAGCTCAACCAGAAATGCCTCTGAAGAAACAAATAAAAAATATGGTAAATTCTCATACATTTTTTTATGATGATGCCCACACTATTTTCCATACATAAATTTTTACTTTGGTGTAATTACAACAAAACTTTTACTGAGATTTTCAGGCTTAATCAAGTTTGCAAGAGATTATTTTGTGAAATAAAAAGTGGAACAGTGGAGTTCACAGGACCATCTCTGCAGAAAGTCAGTGTCTTCAGTTAATCAGTGGTAACGTTAGAACACCGGACTGGCTAACCGTTTGGTCGTCATTTTCGAAGACCTCTCGAGCCTCCTCGTAGTCGCACACCTCCTCGATGCATTCCCTCTCTAGGTTTCCTTGTTTCAGCTCTTCCATGAAGCTGTTGGCTCGCCGCCATCTCTGCAGCACTGTGTTGGCCTCACGCTTCTCTACAAACACTGAAACAAATGATAAAATAACATCATTTATTTGGTGCCAGTATGTGAAGCTTGTGTAAAATGTCCTGGAAGACGCTGCTCTCCTCAGGGTACCTCTTTTTCTTCCTCTGTAGCTACAGTACAAAAAAGTCTGTATTTTATTGGCACCTGGTTCGTATAACTAAATTACACTGTAAATCACAGGCCATATTGTAAAGTGTTATTTCATCCAAATACCCAGACCTGCAGCAGCAGTGAAGCCCAGCAGCAGAGTGCAGGCGGTGCAGCAGCTCCTCAGCAACATGTCAGCTGGTTTTCAGAGTGACCCAGTACAACAAGGTCCAGCAGTGTTGTTAGGAGAGGTGGAGTGCGTTTAGGCCATGCCCACTGAGCCTCTGACCGAGTCAGCACAAAAAACATGACTTCTTCTGTTTTTAATCAAGTCAGTAAACACACCTGAGGAGGTCAGTGTGATTTACTTCTCACTGTCCTGTGCTTTCTGTTCTCTGATGCAGGAGGGTAGAAGCTTCTAATAAGGCACTGCTGATAAAGTATTTAAAGGGAATACATTTAAATTAAATTGACCACATGTAATTCAGTTCTGTTACAAAGGTCTGCAGTTATTTATGAAGTACACGAATTTATTTACATTTAAGCTGCTTTTGTGTTTCTACTTCCCTGCTCTATATGGCAATAATTCCTAGTCACATTAATATGTTAAAGAGACCTTGGATCCATGCATGGATTTTGTCCATTCTAAGTCATTATATTTGCAGTTAACAGGCTTTTAGTTCAGATGTGCTGCAGCTATTTACCATTGGCGAGGTCTCCCTGATGAATTAAAGACATCAGTTGAAGGATTTTCTACAACCTGGTGACACAGATGTTGTACTTAATGGGTTCAAAGTGACCTGTAAAGCATTGATAAATGTATAGAATGTATGAATTGCAGCTTTATAAATGGTGCCTTGTCTCTCCAGCGGTGTACAGTTCAGGGGAGAAGGACCTATACACATCAGACACTCTCTGGACTGTATCAACATGAATGAGGAAATCATACAACACACAGTAGCAAAACCAGCAAACACAACCATTCAGTGCACGGCCATTCAAACTTCGTCTGGTTCAGTTTTAAACATTATAGGAAATTTCTATGATCTTTCTGGTTATCTTTCTACATGATCTGTGTGGAAAGTTGAAATTGGAGAGGGACTGGTGAACTGAATGAGCGTACTGCTCAAAGTGTGTGCAGGGCACTCAGTCTGCATGGTGCAGGGCTCATGTTATGAGAAAATACAATAGTCTGTGTCATTATAAGGAGAAAATACAGTATGTCGTAATAAGAAATATCACGTTTTAACATGAACATATCTCATAAAAATGATAAAAGTATCTTGTTATAATGAGAATTGCTTAAAGTTATAACAAGATACTAAGCAAGTGTTGAGGCAGTTATGGTATGGCCAGCATGTATACGTGTACTCGTGTACTTGATTCCACTCCTAGTCATAATCTTTTTTTAAATAATCAATCATTGATCTATAAAATGTCAAAAATAATTTTTAAAAAATGTCACAATTCTCAGCATTTGTCCTCAGTTTACAGTGAAACAAGATAGTAAATCACCAAATAATTTTATTGCATGGCTGGTAACTAGAGAATATTTGGCATTTTTTATCTGCAATTGATTGAAACAATTATGAAGTTATCAAAACAGATGCAGTTTATCTTTACATTGACTGATCATTTCTTCTCTCACAAAATGCAGTACATTTTGTCATGTCTGAGTTTACTAGTTTTTCTCAGTTTACTGCCCCCTCTAGACCCTCAGGTTGTCAGGTTGTGTACTAAAGCCTCAGTGTGGTTTTTTGGCTGGTCTGGTGTTGCTGTTCGGTTGTGGATCCACTCCAGGTAGTTGGACACCCGGGTGTAGATGCCGTAGTTGCCTGGTCTGGCACAGCCCTTCCCCCAGCTGACGATGCCCAGCAGGAACGTTGTATTCTTGTACTGTGTCACCAGAGGCCCGCCACTGTCACCTTTACATGAGTCCTGCCGGCCCTCGATGTATCCAGCGCAGAACATGTTCTCGGTGAGCACCACCATGCTCTCCTGCACACACTGTTGTGTCCGGATTCGCGGCACCTTCAGGCGTTGCAGGATGTGTGAGGTGGGTCCATTCTCACCCCTCCTCCCCCATCCGCTCACCGTATGCAAGCTGATGGCCCAGAGGTTGAGGTCAGCCAGTAAGCGTGTCGGCAGGCAGGCTGGGATGGCATATGGTGTGTAAATAATGGGCGTTGCCAGGCGAAGGAGAGCAATGTCGTTATCAGCAGTGTGTGATGCATACTTCTCATGCATGATGATCTCGGCAACCTGGATGAGCTGCTCCGTGCCCTCGTTCACCTCTGTGTTGTGTTCACCTGACAGACAAAGACCAGGGTTGACTGAGATGAGTGTTTCCCTCCAAATCAAACAGTCCAAGATATTAAAATGTGTTTAGACTGAGATTCATACCTGCAACAACCTTCAGGAACTGAGCCTCTGTGTTTTCCAAGCAGTGAGATGCTGTGAGGATCCATGTAGGTTTATAAATCACTCCTCCACAGAAACCTTTGCCTTTATACTGTAGCAAGACCTTAAAAATGAACAGTATTTTTAAGTAATATCCAGATTCTCAACATAAAAATACTGTACATCACAGCCAAAGCTAAGCTTTACTGAAACTACACAAGGCTCTACAGTAAATGGGTGAGCTGTCTCTTTAACTTTAGCATACCTGCCAGGGGCATTCACCTTTGGGACACTCTGTTCCTCCGACAATTCGTGCCCGAGAGTCGAGCTGCTGGGCTTTGTTTTCATCTTGCAGGATAGGGACCATGCCGCATGCTATTGACTCTGAAACAACAACAACAACAAAAATATCTTTAGCATTGATTTTGTAACAAACTAGTAGGAAATGATACAGATTTGGTGCTGTACTTTGACAGAAAATAAATTGTTGTGTAGTATATTACAACATTGTTTTCTCCTGTTTTATGGTCAGATGTTGTGTAACACAGTGATCAACACTTGTACCACTTTTGTTTTGCATTTCATTGTTGTCATTTGGTCATAGCTTCAAAAATACAACATAAGTTGTTACTTGTATGCTGATGACACACACATCTATCTTCATGTAATGTCACGGATTCATTCCACATTTTAAACCAGAGAGAAGCTAAACAGAAGCTAGGTTAATTAATTCAGTAGTTGACAGGCAGAAAAAAAAAGTGCAACTATTTTGATGATCACAGAATTGTTTCAGTAATTTTTATGCAGAAAACAAAACATGTTCCATCTCCTGTGTGAAGATTTTATGCTCTTTGTAGTGTAAGTAGAGTAAGTTGATCATATTTGGGTTGAGGACGGATGGTCAGTCAAAATGAGACATTTGAAGATGTCACCACAAGATGTGGTAAATTATAAAGGGCAATTTTCACTATTTTTGACAAAACCATTAACTAAGTAATCGAGACGAGCCGTCCCTGGTAGGCTGGTGGTTAAGGTGCAGCACTCTTGCTGCTGTGCCCTGGGTTCAAATCAGGGTTGCGTCAGGAAGGGCATCCGACGTAAAACACATGCCAAATGTCAACATGCAAGTTGTCAGTGTGACGATTCAGTGTGGTGACCCCTAAACGGGAAAAGCTGAAAGTGACTTTCTTATTAACTAAGTAATTGAGAGAATCATTTTCATATTAATAGATCTTAGCTACCATCACAGGTTGATGCTGTAAGACTGATTTAGTTTTCTGGACAAATGATACACAAAATATTTTGTCATTTTAGTATAAAGGCTGTTTGGTTTATCTGCTGTAAAACAGGCCTTTCCCAACAGTTCAGTGTAGCAGAACTTAGTTTTTAGGCGTGTGTCAAAACGGAGGAGGCAAAGGCATCCACTCATTCTGACAAACAGGAGTATCAGATATCAGTTATTCCTTTGTTGTGTAGATTATTGATCCTCAGCAGCTGCATGGGATATATAGAAATGCAAGTATCTCCAAAAGCCTGTAATCACTGTACTTCTGTTTGACGTCTTTCTCATGAGTAAGACAAACCCACCTTTTGCTTTGCAGCTCTGTCCATCTGCGTCCAGGAAGTAACCTTCTGCACATGAGCAATTTAGTTTTTGTCCTCCCTCACCTTCGTTGCAGTAATGTTCACAGCCTCCATTCTCCAGCAGGCAGGTGCTGGGAGTAGCCAGGAACTCTGAAAACATGTTCACTTTTAAAATGGTTTAATTTATCACGTAATTTCATTGTCTGAAGTTTATTCACTTTGATGTTTACTTCAGGAAGGATCCATCTCTGTTTAAGACACAAAGGCTGGAAACGGAGAAACCCACAATCCCAGCTCCATCAGCTCCAGGAGGACACACTGTGTTAGTGCAGGGGTACAGGTTTTCTGCTCTACAGACCAGGCCTCCTGCATAGTTAATAAGGATTAGGAATGCTTGTATGTTTTGCTCACCAAGCTCACACTGGAGTCCGCTGAACTTTGGCAGGCAGAAGCAGGTGTAGGACGAACCGTGGGCGGAGCAGCTGCCGCCGTTCAGGCAGGGGCTGGACTTACAGCTCTCTGGGACTACAGTGTAAGAAAACACTGGTTATTCCATACATCACACAACATAGGAGTCGCTGCTGATGTATTTTTCATAGGGTATCTGCAGGTATTACAAATGTCACACATAGAAGGGGTACTTATAAAAGGTTTTGAATGCGAATGCGTATGGTTGCAGGGTTTGTTCCAGTTCACTGGAATAAATTCACACGTAAACCTTAGGTAATTTTTTTTAAATCCAATATATAGTGCTTGTTCTTGAACAGTGGTAGGACAGAAGTGTGTGGCTGCTTACCGTCATATGTCCGCCAAAAGTCATCCTGTGGCAAAAGAAAGGTGTGTAATCGATAATACATTTTCAAAACTAATTATACATTGTTTGGTTTGCAATTAAAAAAGCATGCATTATTGAAATAAAAACAAATTTTAAACACTATTAATATTTAAGCAAAATTTATGATTGTTTAGTACCAGAATGGTGTAATTCTATTGGCAACAAATATTTTGTTAAAAATTTCCCAGTAAAATGTTATTCAGTCTAATCATAATCTATATAATGTAATGTCTATGATACAAGCCAAATTAAAACACAAGATGGCAATGGATCCAATTTAATGATGGAACTATGAATTCTAATCACTTAAAATGAAAACATATTAGCTGCTAGTTTGTGTTTAGAATCGGACCGTAGCCTTGGTGTGTTCGAACACCTCCCGGGCCTCTTCGTAAGAACATCTCTCCTCCAGACACTCCCTTTTCAGATCGCCCTTCTGCAGCTCCTCGAGCCAGCCCGAGTTATGCCTGCGAATCCGGACCAGGACACCGTTGGCTTGATCTGGATCCAGAAAAACTACCGAACAGAAAGGGAAGAGTCTGTCATAATACATATATTATACTATAATATTTTTGTCTCCTCCTTCACATGCTTGATGGTGCTCAATGTAATCTCTAAGCGATGGTGCTGAGCTTTTACACCTGACAAACTGTAAAAACATTTTTGCGATATTTAAACTTTTTTCAAATTTCTGCTGTTTCCACTAAGATTTTTTTATGCACATATTAAAAATATGTATAAAACAGCTGACTTGAAATGCACATATGCATGGTGCTCAGTGGACGAATCCTAATGATTGTGCTGATCCTCAGATTTTTCATCTAGTGCCGTCATCAGGTTTAATATGTCCAATACTTTGGTTTTTGATTTAATATCTGCAAAATGAATCACATTCCCATCAACTCCAGCTGTACATGTAATAATTAGCAATTGTTAGCATGCTAACATGCTAAAATGTCCACTGTCCATTAATTTGAAAAACATGAGAAGCATAAACCACTGTTTAAAGTAAACTGAAATAATCATTTAATGCAGAGGTAACTTCTAATATTTTATGACAAACTGTGAACAAAGTCCTGTTGCTGCAGTCAGACATTTTGCCTTTGGTTTCCTCACCTGAGGCCAGCTGGCAGCTGTAGACATTGAATGCGAAGGTGAAGACGACTCTCAGCCACATAGTTGATTTCATCAGAAAGTCAGTCCTTTGCTGCTTCTTTATGGATCAAAAGGTGCAAAGTCTGATCCACCCCCCAACATCCCTACAACTGGTCACATGTTCCCAGTGGAAATAATCAGCCTGACAAAATGTGACAGACTGTGTCCTGTTTCCTGAACTCAGTGCAATGGAGAACTTCCTGCTTTCACACTTAAAATCCATTTCCTGCTAAGCCTTATCCAGTAACATGATAGAGTATCTTCTTAGTGCATCCAGTGGTTTGGGGGTGTGCTGAGTTTACTACATTGAATTGCATGAAATAAAATAAAAATAAACACAATAATAAAAATATCTAAACATTAAAAAAACAGGTCTTTAAAACTACTGAAATGCCAACGTTTTGAGCTTGAGCATCTGTTATAATTTATTCCATATATGCAGGTACTGTAGGTGTTATTACAATAATCAAATGATATATGGGAGGCAAAAACTAGGGTCATGTTTAGCCTAGCTTAGCACAAACACTAGAAATGGGGAAACTGCTAGCCTAGCTCCTTCAAAAAACATCACTGTGCAACCCAACAACACAGGATCTCATGTTTATACTCATGAAATAGTGGGAGAAGATGGCATGATTCCTGTTGCCCCTATCTGTTGTTAGTGAGTCACCTGAAATTTAAAACGGTTTTTGATTTTGTAAATAGTGTAAATCACATTCATAGTCATATCCAAGTTGTGACTATGAAACACAGAGCCTGCACCTCAGCCAAAGTGTGTTGTTCAAGGTACCTAATCATAAATTTAAAGAATGGCCAGCTGTACAATGAATAATTTTCTTTGAATGACATAATATTAGTTTGGCTCAGTCATCCATCCTCAAAACAGAAAACGGCTACCACCAACAAAACGTTCAGGCATAATTTTGTCTTTATTTCTGACACACATTGTTTTGCAGTACCTGAAACAATCAACATTTCTCTGTGTATAATAAAGTGTAGGTTGAGCCAAAAACACTTTGACAATGAACCTGTACATTTTAAATTTCACAAGATACAGAATAAAAACTCAACATCAACTGTGTGGTAAACGCAGCTCATAAACACTTCTTGTTTATGATCATTATTCAGTATAGTGATAATGATGTTAGACCCTGGTGAAATTGGATACTTAAATACTGCAGTGGTATCTAAACTATATGTTTCTAATGTTATCTTCAGAGCTGAAATGAGAAGCTAATGCATCTACTGTACAAGCAAACTGACAGAAAATTAACTGATAACAATGTTGACAGTTTAGAAACCAGTTACGTTTTTGACATTCAATTATAGATTGACTTAAATGTGTAGGTTTACAGCTTGTCTTTGTTATTATGACAGTAGATTGAATATGTTTTGGTTTCAGATAGTTGGAGGATCTGATGTGATGCTTCACTATTTGTCATAACTACAGAGCAAATTATATGAGAAAATACTCAGCAAATTAATTAAACACCATCACATCTGCTTGCATCTGTGCATTAGGTTCAGCTGGTGGACATGATGTCCTCAATCCAGCCCAGGTAGCTGCTGACTCGGGTGTAGACACCGTACATATTTTCATTGGCACACCCCTTCCCCCAGCTCACCACACCTGTCAGGAACCAGGTTTTCTTGTAGCGCGTCACCAGAGGACCGCCGCTGTCACCCTCGCAGGCATCCTGCCCGCCTTGTCTCAGCCCAGCGCACAGCATGTTCCTGGTGATGTTGAGCTGGGTGTGCTTGCGACACTCCTGCAGACGGACCATTGGTAGCACGAGGCACTGGAGGAATCTGGCAGGAGGGCCAGACTGGGCCAGGCGACCCCAACCAGATACAGTGGAGAAGCGGACGTTTGCCAGTGTCTGGCTGAAGGTACTGTTCCAGGCAGGAAGGCAAATGGGTACCACGTAGGGTCCCAGTTTGACTGGGCGGTAGAGCTTCAGCATGGCCAGGTCGCTGTCGGAACTGGACTGGTTATAATTGTGGTGGATCACGTGTCTGACCACTCGTCGCCTCTGCTCAGTCGCCTCATTCTCCTCTCGGTCATGTTCACCTTGGCAGGGACAGCACTTTTATATTTTACTTTAGTATCTTATAAATCATCACATTTCATTTTCTGTCATAGGGATTTGTTAGTCACATATAAATTAATTTACTCAATCAACTGTAGTTTCTTTGACATCAAATCACACATAGCTACATAAACGTTCAGGATAAAGCTGGTCCGAGACGTTCTGCCACTGCAGGCCTGGGAGACAGCAACACATTAATATCTGCATCATTAAAAGAAGACAATGCCACTGTTTCCTGACTCCACATACTGATCTGCTGTGATGTGCTGAGCTGAAGGTGTCTGATCACAAGCACAAAATATCCAGTGGCTTAAGAAAACAATTGCACAGGGACAAACTACAAGACAGCAAAGAAAAGCTCTGTAGCTGCAAACAACCATGTTGTTGTCCATTTCTGAAAGCATCAGCTCCCATTTTGTAGTTTAGTTGGAACATTGCATGATACTGTTGGACATACACTCCTAACTTTGGACTTGTTCAGTTTTAGAGTCTCCCACACAAATACACCTTTGTGTTTTTTAGTGCTTTCTACCTTTGTGTTTTCATTGTTGTTGATCAGTTAGTGACTGTGTTTCTTTAACTGCATGCGCTTCATTTATCCGCAGCACGTCTTTCGAAATCTGGCCTGCATGTTGTCAAAGTGCTCAGGTGTTTTCTTTTCATTTGCTGTGCTTTTGTGTTTTCCTAATTTCAGACCATGATGCTGAAATCATTGAAGATGGTCATCAAAGTAGAAAAGGTGAGACACTCCAGAGCCTTTGGTCTTACCAAAACATGGCTTTTTAACATTTTGTGCAGAAGATGAAAGTGTCATCTCTATAAAATATTAAAAGGTTGAAGGTAGAAGACATATATCGACAATAAAAGCATAAATATAGTAAATAAATGCAGACATTTGAATGCAGGTTGATATAAATGCAGACATTTAAAGAGTAGAGTAGAAAAAGTTTCAAACAGGTAGAAGGGTAGGGAGGTTAGGAAAAGGGTAAAAGAAGGAGCAAGTGTTTTCTTTGTTTTAATAAAAAGTCTTACCGACAATGATGTGGAAGATGGCGGTAGGTTTTCTCCAGATGCAGTGAGCTGCCGTTAAAGCCCACTGATCGGACAGGATGATGGCTCCGCAGGTGTAGACGTCATGTTCAGTCAGCAGAGCCTGAGCAGGGAGGCAGCAGCATCATCATCATCTACTCTCTTTCAGTTCATTTGCATTTAGAAGTGGCCATAATAATTTAGTGATGGACAGAATGCCAAAGCATTAGACTGATGAGAAAAAGATGAAATCTCACAACATACAGCTTCATCTACAAGCCTCTCACTTAAAAGACAGCATTTACAGGGAGTTATGCAAGTTTTCTGTGGGTAGCCCTGTACAATAGAGAGGAATGACAACTTGGACCTAGTTTTCGGTGAAGCATAGTCCCAGTAAAATAAAATGTTCATCCACATATTTTATTAGGATGTTGTTGATGTGTGTTTCTGAGGTGAGTCCCAAACCTTGGTCACAGGAAACACACTACATAGGTAGATACTATTCTGGAATAAGAAATATTCTCTGCTATGGTAGGACATTTCATACTTCATTCTGTAGTACTGGAGTCAGTTTTCTACTTACCTGCCATGGACAGTGTCCTTTGGGGCAGGTTTTCCCATTAACAACCCTTGGGGTAAAATGCAAAAGAGGTCTTCCACAGGGAACATCATCTGGACCAGACACAAGCAAACAGTCAACATGTGGCCCTCTGATACTACATCAGCATCCTCTGTCCCTTTGGATGATCAGACATAAAAACCCAAATGTTCAGGCGTCCTCAGTGGAGCACGCTAACCACCCTACACTCATATTTGCAGCTGAGTAGTTAATGTGTTGCCTTGTACTTTCTCAGACATCCCCAGGTTAATTCTCTTACATGGTGGTGGGTTTTTCGGTAATTAGTGGTTTCTTGAAGCATACATTTTATATAAAATAGACGTAGAGAGGTGTGATGTCACCTGCTGGCTTGCATTGGAGCCAGTTTGAAGCCTGGAGTTGCAGCCTACAGTCAGTTGGAGTCAGGACAGTGTTTTTTCTTTTTTTTGCTTGAATGTTCTATAAAAAATGACAGACCTTCAGGAAGGCAGGTGCTGTTGTCGTCCTGGTCCAGCCTGTATCCTGGAGCACAGAAACAGATATAAGACCGATCCGGAAACTCTCTGCAGAAATGTTCACACCCCCCATTTTTGTAGCGGCAACCATTGGAGGTTGAAAGAACTGCAAAGAGAGACAGACAAAAACCACGTCACTACTTCTTCAGCAACCATGGACACTCACAAAAAGGGTTTGGCCGTTGATCCCTACCTTTGTCACAGTTGCGTCCAACGAAACCAGGTGGACATTTGCAGACGTAGGTGTTGGGGTTGCTAGTGCACGTTGCTCTGTTCTTACAGGGAGATGACAGGCACTGATCCACTGCTGCAAACAGGAAGTCACATTTTAACAAGTGTTAAACGCTGAAACGTCTGGTTGTGTGTTGTTTGTAATTGACCGACATATCACTTACTAATGATCTTGTGTTTCTCAAAAGAGAGTTGTAGATTTTTTTTACTTACCAATGTGTTGTTACTATTTCAAACTTAAATGTACATTAGAAACCTAAAGCTTGTTGTACAGCAGAGTGAATCCCAGTACCTGTGTGCCTCGTCCAGAATTCCTCCTGGAAACACGATTAAGCACACATTAACAGAAACTTTAACAACTATCAACCCTATATCAGCTCAAGTTTTGACTGACCAGCTGTTGTGGCAGGGCAAAGATCTCCTTAGCCTCCTCGTAGGAACATTTCTCCTCCACACACTCTCTCTCCACATTGCCATGCCACAGCTCCTCAAACAGAGAGTTCGCCCGGCGACTACGATGCAAGAAGACACTGGCCTCAGGTCTGCTCACAAACACTCCTGCTTTAAATAACAAGACATGATGACAGCTGAGGTACATCTCCATTAGCTCAATGAAGACATGAGATGTGGTTGAAAGCTCCAAAAGCTAGTACGTGGCCTCTGTGGTGTAATATGTAGTTTTATTAAAAGTATGTTTCCTGGTGTGTCTACTGGAGGGACTAGGGATGTAAAATAAAAATGATCACAAAGATAAATTTGTTTTAAATGTAGTGTTCTCTGTAAGTAGGTAGGTAGGTTAATTTCAAGAAAATATAACTACATGTGTCAGTGTCGCCAGTTTTCATGGATGTAGCTTAGTAGCTACAGTAGCTGTATCGGGAGATGTTTCCATTTTAGCTTCCACTAACAATGGTCTAATTAGTCACCTGTTTCCTAAACAGGTCAACACCAGACTTATTAATCAAAAACAAGGAAACTGGAGATCAGAAAGCAGCAAGTCAGAAGTGTAAAGACTCAAATTTTGTCGTTTCACACTTAACCTTAGTTAACATGCTGGGATATTCAGCTAAAGGAAAAACAACTGAGAAAGTTTTTTTCTTTTTAGCAAAAATCGCTACAAACCCCAAATCAGAAAAAGCTGGGACGGTATGTAAAATCAAAATTAAAACTGAAAGTAATGATGTGTAAATCATCTGTGTCCTGTGTTACATTGAAAACAATACAGCAGCACATTATTTGATGTGACACATCAGTTTTGTTCTTTGTTCAAAACATTAAAAAATGCCGACTTAACAGTAGTGTGCTAAGCAGACGTACAGCAGATTGATATTCCTCCTCATACAGCCCCAGCGGGAAAAGGTGAAACGACAAAAAAAAAAAAACAGAGGAAGAAGAGCATTAGAAGGAGAAGAAACAGGACTGACCTCCAGGAAGCCCAGTGCATGCTGGGAGGGAAGCGATGAGGAGTCGTAGGAAGAAGAGCTGCTTCATTTCTGTCCTGACAAACGCCATATTTGTTCTGAACCAATCAAAGGTCAAAAACTTTGTTGAAACACACAAACACAGTCTCTCATACACAAATACACTGTGCAAATATGTACACGGACTCCAGGTCTGTCCCTAAAGACTCTGACTCTGTTCCTCAGTCAGACTGTCACAGTGGGTGGCTGAGTTCCGCATTAGCACTAGTTCTTTTATCTCCCTTGTAAAGTTTCAGAATTTGTGTCTGTCTCTGCTCTAAAATGGAACTTGGTCAGACTTTGCAGTTGTGCCTCACTGAAGCAAGATGTCCGGACTAAAAGCAGATGTTTCCCTTTGTGGTGATGTGATGCCTCTTTGCAGCCCTTATCTGTTTGTGGTCACTTGTATCTATTTTTAGTCACTTCTGTCTGCTTGGGATCTGCTTGCATGTCCTGGTGGTTTTGCATCTCTGTGGTAGTTTTGTGTCACTCTGCAGTCTTTACCACTCTCTGCAAGCACTTGCGGTCCATAGCAGTTGTGCTGCCATACCAGACAGTGATGCAGCTGGTCAAGATGCTCTCAACATTGCAGCTGTAGAAGTTGCTGAGGACCCTAGGCAACATGCTAAATCTCCGTAGCCTCCTCAGGAAGTACAGCCACTGTTGGGCCTTCTTGACCAGCTGTGTGATGTTAGGTGTCCAAGTGAGGCCCTCACTGATGTGGACGCCCAGGTATTTGAAGCTGCTCACCCTCTCCACTTCGAGCCCCCGGATGAACAGTGGCCGATGAGTTCTCCTCTCCTTCCTCATGTCCACTATCATCTCTTTTGTCTTATCTGTGTTGAGGCTGAGATTATTGTCTTCGCACCATGACACCAGACCAG